CTCCTCTCCCTTCCTCTCCGCTCTCCTCCTCTGCTCTCCCCTACCTTCTCCTCCGCTCCGCTCTCTCCCTTCCTCTCCCCTCTCCTCTCTCGTCTCCTCTCCCTTCCCTCCTCTCCCTTCCCTTCCCTCGCTCCTCTCCCTTCCTCTCCCCTCTCCTCCTCTCCTCTCCTCTCCCTTCCCCTCCTCTCCCTTCCCTTCCCTTCCCCTCCTCTCCTCTCCTCTCCCCTCCTCTCCCCTCCTATTCTCTCCTCTCCTCTCCCCTCCTCTCCCCTCCCCTCCCCTCCCCTCCCTTCCTCTCCTCTCCCTTCTCTCCCTATTTCTCCCCTCCCCCCCCCACTCAGATGTTTCAATTTGAGAAGCTGTGGTTTCCATCCTCACAGCTCCTTCCACCCAGCTCCCGGGCACTGGTGTGTGGGGAGGAGCCGAGCGGCCACCACAGGTTCTTGCCGAGGTCTCAGATCTCAGCCCAGCGCCGTGTCACTGGCGCCACAGAAGTAGAAGCCGATGTCTTCAGGCTGTGTGTTTGTCACCTCCAGACTTGAATAGGTTGCGTTTGGATGGTTGATGGGAAACTTGGCTTTGGTAAAACCCTGTTCATAGGCAGCGTCGGAGGCCTGATTGGAAGTTGCCATCAGCATGAAGCTCTGTTTCGGCAGCTGACGGTACCAAAACACGGTTACGGCCTGCAGACCCACAGAACGGCACTCGATCCTCACAGAGGCTCCGCTCTGACAGATAGCCCTGCTGGGGTTTTGCAGGACCAGAGCACCGAGCCCAGAGCCTGCAGAAACAGAGGTCAGAGAGCAGGAAGGGGACAACGTGAGCAGGGTCAGACACAGCCTCAGCCTCGCTCCCGCCCCTTCCTCCTGGTTGCTGGAGAATTCCGTCTGCTTAGTGCATGCTTCCTCTCACACCCTAGGGGTTCCTCAGCCCCATCTTCACTGACTGGTGACTCCTACCCTGTACCCCTAGGAAGAAGGGGCACTCCATGTCCTGTGATCAGTGTAAACAATCTACAGTGCCCAGCCAATCCTTCATTCCTGCACACACACACACACACACACACACACACGGGCTCCCCGGTGTAACAGGGCTCCTACCAGGCCCCAGAAGCAGCAGAAGCGTTAGCATCTTCAGGGGCGGCCTCACACCGGTAGGACAGCGCACTCCACCTTCCTCTCCCAGTCAGGGGAGTGGGCACCTGATCATAGAACATGCAGGATGCCCTCATCTGCCCCCTGCTGGTGCTCCTCGACATTGATGTGGGATGTGTTCCTCTCCCTGACAGAGGCACGCTTGCTGAAGAAGATCCGAGTCTTCCCCATTCAGCTTACGCGCTCAGACCCAGAACATGGAGATGACGCGTGGGAGCATCTGTGCAGAAGGGCCTGTTCTGGAGACTGAATGACATTCACGTCAGTTTTTTTCTTCTGCGCAGTGTCCAAGGCAATCGCAACAAGACAACTCAGCTCTGTCAATCACTAGACTTACAGGTTGACATCCCCAGACATGTCAGCAATGCCAGGCCATAGTCACGATGAAGACGTTTCCTCATGTTCTCAAGGAGATGTTGGTCTCATGATAATCCCATTTGTATGTTGATGGACTTAGTTACAAAAATTCTAAAAATGGGGGCTGGCACTGTGGAATAGTGGATAAAGCCACTGCCTGCAGTGCCAGCACCCCATATGGGCACCAGTTCTAGTCCTGGCTGCTCCACTCCGATCCAGCTCTCTGCTATGGCCAAGAAAAGCAGTAGAAGATGGCCCAGGTTCTTGGGCCCCTGTACTCACATGGGAGACCCAGAAGAAGCTCCTGGCTCCTGGCTTCAGATCAGCCCAGCTCTGGCTATTGCAGCCATTTGGGGAGTGAACCAGCAGATGGAAGACCCCTCTCTTTCTACCTCTACATCTGCCTCTCTGTAGCTCTTCCTTTTAAATGAATAAAAAGTATTTTTAAAAAGTCTAAAAATGTATTTATTTAGCATACATGTTCCTATATAAGTCACTGGGAAGGTTTTGAGGATAATTTAATTCAAGTTATCAAAGTTATTTTACTGTAATGAAGATCAGGTGATGTATTGGCAAATGGAAACATTCTAGTAGGAGTAAAGAATCATTTCTGCTCTGAACATGCTGGGATAATTACTTCAATGGACCAATCTTGGAAATACATAATAATAAAAAAGAGCCAAAAATCTTGTTCTTGCTCTTGTATTACATGAGAGAGATGGGGATCCTGTCCACCTGTTCACTCATGAAATGCCTGTAACATATTTGGTCTGGATCAGACCAACCCTGAGAGGTGGTAGCACAGTCTAAGCTATCCATGTGGTTGGCAGGGACCCAACTGCTCCAGCCACCACTGATGCCTCCTAGGTTCTGCATTGTCAGGAAGCTGGAGTTGGGAGCCAGCTAGATATATTTAAGACGTGTTTATATTTAAAAGTCAGAGTTACAGAGACAGAGGTGGAAACAGAGAGAAACAGAGATAGAGAGAGAGAGATTTTATCTGCTGGTTCACTCTCGACATGGCCACATTGGCTGGTGTGGGCTAGGTTAAGCCAGGAGCCAAGAGCTTCATCTGGGTCCCTCATGAGTAAGACAGGGGCCAAGCACTTGGGCCCACCTTTGCTGCTTTTCCCAGGCCATTAGCAGGCAGCTGGATCAGAAGTGGAGCAGCTGAGACAGGAACCATCTGCCTACAGGTTGCAGGCATCACAGCCGGTGGCTTAAGCTGCTCTGCCACAACACCAGCCTAGGAGCCAGGTATTGAACTGGTATTATGATATGGGATGCGTGTGTCTTTAATGGATAGGCCAACTGCCCCTCTTAGTGAACTCTATTTTAATTAACATTTTGAAGTTCACAACAAAATTAAGCGGAGTGAGTTCTCACACCCCCTCTCTGCCCCCTTCCCTGCCTCCCTGATACTGACCTTCCATTAAGACTGCAGACCTGGTGGGTGTGGCTACAAGGGGAGCCAGAACAGTAGCTGGCTCACTCCAAGTCCTGTGCTTGGGTTGGAACACACCCCTTAATTCTGCAGCTCGCAGGTTTATTTTCAGAAGCAAAATGATGTGTACCCCCTCTGATTCCCAAGGTGTGTGAAATGTGTGAGTGAGCGTGTCTCACTTTAGAGCAGAAGAGCACTGACACTTAGGAGTTTCTGTGGGAAATGAGGCTGACACGTTGAGCTTCAGTTTGGTTGCTGGTGGTCACTGCTTCCTGGTGCAACAGGCTGAGGCAGAGAATTCAACGGAGACATCAAGAGGAAATTGGAACTGAAGTGAAACCTTGTAAGAATATATTTTCGTAAGACAATTCTTTATGAGAGTTTAACAAGTACATTCATGATAATTCTATTGAAACAAACGGGACAAACGTACCCACATTTTTAATGGTAAAAACTGAGGTCGTACTGAAGAAAAGTAATAAAAACCTCCAATTGAGAAGCAACTCCGAGCTAATGTGTGAGATGTAGCAGGTGGTACCTCGCGTGTCTGAGTCCCTCTCACCATTGTAGGAGATCAGATGGAGTCCCTGGCTCTTGGCTCCAGCTCTGCTGAACTCTGGCTGCTGGAGCCAATTGAGTAGTGAATCAGCAGATGGAAGATCTCTTTGTCTCTGCCTTTCAAATCAATTAAGTAATCCATCAATAAATCTAATTAAGAAACCCAAAGATCTCAGAGAAGAGACACATGAGAACGCATGGAGAGTATCTAACTGATTGTCAGAGCAGCCACATGAGTATAAAATTTGTCAAACTGCATCATTGATGTTTCCACTGAAAGTAGATGCATCTTACTTCATGGATCGTATGGCTCAAACAGTTGCTTTAATAACTGCATGGTGGGAGTTTCCACGGGGCAGGCACTGCTGAGAGATTCTGCTGAGTCTCAGGGCAGGTACATCTCTATGAAGCAGTCGCTACCCCTGAATGTGGGACTGCATCCAGGTGAAGGAACTGTACTGGGTCACAGGTCCATGGTCAGTGTAAAAGATAGGGCTGTTGTGGTCATCAGCCTTACTCCTGAATGCACGGTTTTCCTAGGAGAAAAGAACAGAATTATACATTCTAATAAAGACTGTTAGAAGAGAGAGAGAGAGAGAGATCCTGGAATACCTTGTCTGGTGTTCTGTACCCTGGGAACTGTGAGCACCTTTGTAGTCTTCCTTCCCCATTCATACCACATTCTGCTCACCTAGAGTTGTCATCTACAGTTTGTTCTCTTCAGATTTATGAGAGTTGTTGTGTTTCTGGTGTTTTATAATAGCCGAATGCACCACTCATTTCCTGAGCTGGTGCAGGCTGAGTTTGTGTTCAAAGGAAAGTGAACTTTGAGCACTGTGGATTGGCTGCTGGCACAGAAATACAGGGCCGAGTCCTCTAGTTCAGTGGACTGGATCTCCACGCTGCAGGGTGAGTTTTTGGGACATTGAGCTGAAAATCGCTCATTGATCACTTCTGTTTTCTCATTAATTTCTTCATCCAGGAAGTAAACCAAAAACTTGAGTTCCTCTTCTGGCTTCTGACGATACCAATAAACATAACTGTGTCCTTTTGCAGGGACACACTCCATCTTTGCTGTCTGTGCCTTTCCTTTGAGCAGATGTCTGGGAGTCTGGGTGACCTGTGTGTCCATGGAGCCTGTGGAGGGAGGAGACAGAAGCTGGAGGAGAAGCCCCTGAGGGAGCCTGGGAGAGCAGCCACAGGAGGCTGAGCAGCCCGTGGGACTGGCATGCGCTGGTGCAGAGCAGGGCCTCACCTGCTCCCCAGAGACACAGGGCTCCCCAGCAGAGCAGACTGAGGCGCATGGTGTGTGCAGGAGGAGAGGAGTGGCAGGGGGCTCTTCCTGCAAGGCTTTCTCCTCCCAGCAGTCACCTCCCTGTGACGTCCTCACTCCCATGGGCTTCACCCTTGCCCTGCATGTAGGCCACACACATGTCATAGGCTGTGGGAGGGGAGGGTGTGTGTTAGCTGATGAGCACAACTGGTGACAATTGTAGCCTACTTTGATTTTCTTTTTTGACTTATTCTCACTCTATTTGTAATGAAAATCGTTTTCATGTTGTTCATTTATTTGCTGGTTAACATTGCTAGTTTGTCTCTTTCTTTCTCTCCCTGGCCATGAATCATACACTTAAGTGTATGGTATGCAAAGATTGCACACTTTCTTTGTACTAGAATAAACACCTTGTATGTACATTTTCTGTTAACAATTTGAAGCACACTGTACCAATCATAATCACAGAGCAGTACTTTACCTTTAGGAATTAAATACTGGACAACCAGAAAACATGCTGTGCATAAAAGAAATAATGAAATTGATGTCTCTGTGGATTAAAGGAGAAATTGTCACATTGGTTTTGTAGTCTGTGTTATACTTAGAGATGCCATTTTTCTTACTTCATCTTGTCCAGGTAATCATAAGCAAGTGATAATTTTTGTCGTTCTTTTTCATTTGAGAGAGACAGAGAGTCAATACAAAAGTTATCCATGGTTCTGGACCAGATCAAAGTTTGGGACGAATTCCAGGCCTCCCATGTGGGTTGCAGGGATCCACGCACTTGAGCCATCACTGATGCCTCCCAGGGTCTGTGTAGCAGGAAGCTGGAGTCAGGAGGCAGATCCTGAATCCTGATCCTCTGGTGTGGGATGCATGCATCTTTATTGCAATAAACTGTAGTTTTCACATCCCATTTTGAACTTGAGCATCAGTGGCAAAGGGCCCTCGTATCTCTGTTGCTCTCCTGTATTGACCTCCAGTGTTATCAGTCTGCAGAGTGCTGGAGGCAGCCTGCAGGGGTAGCGAGTGCAGAATGAAGACGGGGCAAGCAGAGCTGATGCATCCAGTTCTGTGCTCTAGGTCTCGTGTTGAAATGTTGACTACACCCTTTAATTTTTTGTCACAGGTTTATTTATTTATTTTTTTGACAAGCAGAGTGGACAGTGAGAGAGAGAGACAGGGAGAAAGGTCTTCCTTTACCGTTGGTTCACCCTCCGATGGCTGCTGCGGCCAACACGCTGTGGCTGGGGCACCGCCCTGATCCGAAGGCAGGAGCCAGGTGCTTTTCCTGGTCTCCCATGGGGTGCAGGGCCCAAGCACCTGGGCCATCCTCCACTGCACTCCCGGGCCACAGCAGAGAGCTGGCCTGGAAGAGGGGCAACCAGGACAGAATCCGGTGCCCCGACAGGGACTAGAACCTGGTGTGCTGGCGCCACAGGTGGAGGATTAGCCTAGTGAGTCGCGGCGGCCCGTCACATGTTTCTTTTTAGAAACAAGTATGTTGCATGTTACTGTGCACATTGCAGGGTTACCCAATGTTTCAGAAGTGTGTGAATGTGCATATTTAGAGCACAAGGGTACTAGCACTCAGGTGGGTCTCCTGGGACGAGGGACTGACATTGTGAGCTCCCACGTGGTGCTGCGGTTATGGCCTTAGGTCGAATATGCTGAGACAGCCTCAACGAGTGAGGCATTGGGAACCGATGTGCAAAGGTGGAAAATAGATTTTAGCAAGGACATCCCTCGTGAGTGTTTAGGAAGACCTTCAATTCCAATCCACCTCCATGATCATGTGCTGGGAGGTGGTAGATGGTGGCTCAAGTACTTGAACCTGAGAATCGTGGCTCCTGACGTCAGCAGGGCCCAGACCTAGCTGTTGCGGCCATTTAGGGAGTGACACAGCAGATGCAAAATTTCTCTCGCGCGTGCTCTCTCTCTCTATGACTCACACACATTCTATTTCTCTGTTCCTCATTTACCCTTTTAATAATAAATTAGATAAATAAATAAACAAAACCTTTTTCAAAAACCCAACACCTCAGTAAAAACGCACAGAGGAGCTGTTGGGGAAATCTGTAATTGATTTCCATGGCAGTCACATGCGTTTAAAATTCAGTGAAATGGACAGTTACAATACACACATTTTATCATATTTATCCTATGACTCAATGATGTTGCTTTAGAATTGCTTGATGGGAGTATTCCAGGGGACAGGAGTTGCTGAGAGCTTCCGCTAAGGTTCCAGGGCATTGGACAGCTGTGAGAAGCGGTCATGAAACCCTTTAAGAAGGCTTGGGTCCAGGTCAGTATGTGCTGGATGCCAGGTCAGGGCCCACGGGCTCATCATCCTTACTGTGAACACCTGGGTTTCCCAGGTGAGAAGCATAGAATGATGTATGTTACAGGGATTGTTACAATCCAGAAACAGAAGACAGCGCTGTGCTGGTATACCTTGTGTACTTTTCTGTACCCGGCGACATCACCCTCTTTTTTGCCTGCGTTTGCTGTCCTTGAATTTCTGTTCCCATCCTCTGTTGTAAACACTCCTTACATCTCACATAGGGCTGTCATTTACAACTTTTTTTCCTTCAGTCAAATGCTCTTACAAGTAGCGTTTCTGGTGTTTTCTACCAACCGAATGCACCTCTCATTTCCTGAGCTGGGTGAGGGCTGAGTTTGTGTTCAAAGGAAAGTGAACTTTGAGCACTGTGGATTGGCTGCTGGCACAGAAATACAGGGCCGAGTCCCCCAGTTCAGTGGACTGGATCTCCACGCTGCAGGGTGAGTTTGTGGGACATTGAGCTGAAAATCGCTCATTGATCACTTCTGTTTTCTCAATAATTTCTTCATTCTGGAGGTACACCAAAAACTTGAGCTCCTCTTCTGGCTTCTTACGATACCAAAAGACATAACGGTGTCCTTTTGCAGGGACACAGTCCATCTTTGCTGTCTGTGCCTTTCCCTTGAGCAGATGTCTGGGAGTCTGGGTGACCTCTGTGTCCATGGAGCCTGTGGAGGGAGGAGACAGAAGCTGGAGGAGAAGCCCCTGAGGGAGCCTGGGAGAGCAGCCACAGCAGGCTGAGCAGCCCGTGGGACTGGCATGCGCTGGTGCAGAGCAGGGCCTCACCTGCTCCCCAGAGACACAGGGCCCCCCAGCAGAGCAGACTGAGGCGCATGGTGTGTGCAGGAGGAGAGGAGTGGCAGGGGGCTCTTCCTGCAAGGCTTTCTCCTCCCAGCAGTCACCTCCCTGTGACGTCCTCACTCCCATGGGCTTCACCCTTGCCCTGCACGTGGGCCACACACATGTCATAGGCTGTGGGAGTTGGAGTGTGTTTCAGCTAGTGAGGACAACTGGTGTGAGTTTCAGCTACTTTCATCTTTTTGTAACTTACTCGTTCACTCTTTTTGTATGAGCTCATCTCCTCATTTTCTTGTCATTTTTGCACTGACTTGTAACATTGCCTATTTGTTTCTTTCCATCTGAGTTCATCAATCAAATCAGTGCACTGTATGCATGTGTTTCAAAATTTCTTTGTACTAAAGTAAACTTATCTTTATGTTTCTTTTCTTTAACCAGTTGAAATACACTTTCATCAATCATAGACTTTGCTACTTTCTATTAAGAATTAAATGGGGAAAACTTAGAAGATATTTATGACAAATACATATGCATGAATAGGGGAAATAAAATGAGTTATTTTTCCTTGTGGAAAAGATAAATTATCTCTGGGATTTTATAATCCAGGTTATACTTTGAGTCGATTTTGCTTTCTCTTTCATGTCCATGGAATCATAAGCCTGACTTCCTTTGTTGTTCTTGCTCTTGTTTTCTATGAGAGAGACAGGGATCCTGTCCACCTCTTCACTCATGAAATGCCTGTGACATATTTGTTCTGGATCAGACCAACCCTGAGAGGTGGTAGCACAGTCTAAGCTATCCATGTGGTTGGCAGGGACCCAGCTGCTCGAGCCACCACTGATGCCTCCTAGGTTCTGCATTGTCAGGAAGCTGGAGTTGGGAGCCAGCTAGATATATTTAAGACGTGTTTATATTTAAAAGTCAGAGTTACAGAGACAGAGGTGGAAACAGAGAAAAACAGAGATATATATATAGAGATTTTATCTGCAGGTTCACTCTCCACATGGCCACATTGGCTGGTGTGGGCTAGGTTAAGCCAGGAGCCAAGAGCTTCATCTGGGTCCCTCATGAGTAAGACAGGGGCCAAGCACTTGGGCCCACCTTTGCTGCTTTTCCCAGGCCATTAGCAGGCAGCTGGATCAGAAGTGGAGCAGCTGAGACAGGAACCATCTGCCTACAGGTTGCAGGCATCACAGCCGGTGGCTTAAGCTGCTCTGCCACAACACCAGCCTAGGAGCCAGGTATTGAACTGGTATTATGATACGGGATGCGTGTGTCTTTAATGGATACGCCAACTGCCCCTCTTAGTGAACTCTATTTTAAATAACATTTTGAAGTTCACAACAAAATTAAGCGGAGTGAGTTCTCACACCCCCTCTCTGCCCCCTTCCCTGCCTCCCTGATACTGACCTTCCATTAAGACTGCAGACCTGGTGGGTGTGGCTACAAGGGGAGCCAGAACAGTAGCTGGCTCACTCCAAGTCCTGTGCTTGGGTTGGAACACACCCCTTAATTCTGCAGCTCACAGGTTTATTTTCAGAAGCAAAATGAGCCTCATCTCGATGTGTACCCCCTCTGATTTCCAAGGTGTGTGAAATGTGTGAGTGAGCGTGTCTCACTTTAGAGCAGAAGAGCACTGACACTTAGGAGTTTCTGCGGGAAATGAGGCTGACACGTTGAGCTTCAGTTTGGTTGCTGGTGGTCACTGCTTCCTGGTGCAACAGGCTGAGGCAGAGAATTCAACGGAGACATCACGGGGGAATTGGAACTGAAGTTAAACCTTGTAAGAATATATTTTAGTAAGTGAATTCTTGATGAGAGTTTAACAAGAACATTCATGATAATTCTATTGAAACAAACGGGACAAACGTACCCAAATTTTTAATGGTAAAAACTGAGGTAGTACTGAAGAAAATTAATAAAAACCTCCAATTAGGATGCAACTCCTAGCTAATGTGTGAGATGTAGCAGGTGGTACCTCACGTGTCTGAGTCCCTCTCACCATTGTAGGAGATGAGATGGAGTCCCTGGCTCTTGGCTCCAGCTCTGCTGAACTCTGGCTGTTGGAGCCATTTGAGTAGTGAATCAGCAGATGGAAGATCTCTTTGTCTCTGCCTTTCAAATCAATTAAGTAATCCATCAATAAATCTAATTAAGAAACCCAAAGATCTCAGTGAAGAGACACATGAGAACGCATGGAGAGTATCTAAATGATTGTCAGAACAGCCACATGAGTATAAAATCTGTCAAACTGCATTGATGTTTCCACTGAAAGTAGATGCATCTAACTTCATGGATCGTATGGCTCAAACAGTTGCTTTAATAACTGCATGGTGGGAGTTTCCACGGGGCAGGCACTGCTGAGAGATTCTGCTGAGTCTCAGGGCAGGTACATCTCTATGAAGCAGTCGCTACCCCTGAATGTGGGACTGCATCCAGGTGAAGGAACTGTACTGGGTCACAGGTCCATGGTCAGTGTAAACGATAGGGCTGTTGTGGTCATCAGCCTTACTCCTGAATGCACGGTTTTCCTAGGAGAAAAGAACAGAATTATACATTCTAATAAAGACTGTTAGAAAAGAGAGAGAGAGAGAGCGCGAGAGAGAGATATCCTGGAATACCTTGTCTGGTATCCTGTACCCTGGGAACAGTGAGCACCTTTGTAGTATTCCTTCCCCATTCATACCACATTCTGCTAACCTAGAATTGCCATCTACAGTTTGTTCTCTTCAGATTTATGAGAGTTGTTGTGTTTCATGTGTTTTCTACCAACCGAATGCACCTCTCATTTCCTGAGCTGGTGCAGGCTGAGTTTGTGTTCAAAGGAAAGTGAACTTTGAGCACTGTGGATTGGCTGCTGGCACAGAAATACAGGGCCGAGTCCTCTAGTTCAGTGGACTGGATCTCCACGCTGCAGGGCGAGTTTGTGGGACATTGAGCTGAAAATCGCTCATTGATCACTTCTGTTTTCTCATTAATTTCTTCATCCAGGAAGTAAACCAAAAACTTGAGTTCCTCTTCTGGCTTCTTACGATACCAATAAACACTTCTGTGTCCTTTTGCAGGGACACAGTCCATCTTTGCTGTCTGTGCCTTTCCCTTGAGCAGATGTCTGGGAGTCTGGGTGACCTCTGTGTCCATGGAGCCTGTGGAGGGAGGAGACAGAAGCTGGAGGAGAAGCCCCTGAGGGAGCCTGGGAGAGCAGCCACAGGAGGCTGAGCAGCCCGTGGGACTGGCATGCGCTGGTGCAGAGCAGGGCCTCACCTGCTCCCCAGAGACACAGGGCCCCCCAGCAGAGCAGACTGAGGCGCATGGTGTGTGCAGGAGGAGAGCAGTGGCAGGGGCTCTTCCTGCAAGGCTTTCTCCTCCCAGCAGTCACCTCCCTGTGACGTCCTCACTCCCATGGGCTTCACCCTTGCCCTGCACGTGGGCCATGCACATGTGTCAGGCTGTGGGAGGGGAGGGTGTGTTTTAACTTATGAGGACAACTGGTGAGAATTGTTGCCTACTTTGATTATCTTTTTTGACTTATTCTCACTCTATTTGTAATGAAAATCGTTTTCATGTTGTTCATTTTTTTGCTGGTTAACATTGCTATTTTGTCTTTTTCTTTCTCTCTGGCCATGAATCATACGCTTAAGTGTATGGCATGCAAAGATTGCACACTTTCTTTGTACTAAAAGAAACACCTCGTATGTACATTTTCTGTTAACAATTTGAAGCACACTGTACCAATCATAATCACAGAGCAGTATTTTACATTTAGGAATTAAATACTGGACAACCAGAAAACATGCTGTGCATAAAAGAAATAATGAAATTGATGTCTCTGTTGATTAAAAGAGAAATTGTCGTATTGGTTTTGTGGTCTGTGTTATACTTAGAGATGCCATTTTTCTTACTTCATCATGTCTAGGTAATCATATTCCAGTGATAATTTTTGTCATTCTTTTTCATTTGAGAGAGACAGAGATTCAATACAAAAGCTATGCATGGTTCTGGACCTGATCAAAGTTTGGGACGAATTCTAGGCCTCCCATGTGGGTTGCAGGGATCCACGCACTTGAGCCATCACTGATGCCTCCCAGGGTCTGTGTAGCAGGAAGCTGGAGTCAGGAGGCAGAGCCTGAATCCAGATCCTCTGGTGGGGATGCATGCATCTTTATTGCAATAAACTCTAGTTTTCTCATCCCATTTTGAATGTGAGCATCAGTGGCAAAGTGCCCTCGTATCTCTGTTGCTCTCCTGTATTGACCTCCAGTTTTATCAGTCTGCAGAGTGCTGGAGGCAGCCTGCAGGGGTAGCGAGTGCAGAATGAAGACGGGGCAAGCAGAGCTGATGCATCCAGTTCTGTGCTCTATGTGGTGTTGAAATGTTGACTACACCCTTTAATTTTTTGTCACAGGTTTATCTATTTATTTATTTATTAACAGTCAGAGTGGACAGTGAGAGAGAGAGACAGGGAGAAAGGTCTTCCTTTACCATTTGTTCACCCTCGATGGCCGCTGTGGCCAGCGCACTGTGGCCGGTGCACCGTATGGATCCATGGCAGGAGCGAGGTTCTTCTCCTGGTCTCCCATGGGGTGCAGGGCCCAAGACTTGGGCAATCCTCAACTGCAGTCCCGGGCCACTGCATAGAGCTGGCCTGGAAGAAGGGCAACCGGGACCGAATCTGGCACCCTGACTGGGACTAGAACCTGGTGTGCCGGAGGATTAGCCTAGTGAGCCGCAGCGGCCCGTCACAGGTTTATGTTTAGAAACAAGTATGCTGCGTGTTACTGTGCACATTGCAGTGTTACCCAATGTTTCAGAAGTGTGTGAATGTGCATATTTAGAGCACAAGGGTACTAGCACTCAGGTGGGTCTCCTGGGACGAGGGACTGACATTGTGAGCTCCCACGTGGTGCTGCGGCTACGGCCTTAGGTGGAATATGCTGAGACAGCCTCAACGAGTGAGGCATTGGGAACCGATGTGCAAAGGTGGAAAATAGATTTTAGCAAGGACATCCCTCGTGAGTGTTTAGGAAGACCTTCAATTCCAATCCACCTCCATGATCACGTGCTGGGAGGTGGTAGATGGTGGCTCAAGTACTTGAACCTGAGAATCGTGGCTCCTGACGTCAGCAGGGCCCAGACCTAGCTGTTGTGGCCATTTAGGGAGTGACCCAGCAGATGCAAAATTTCTCTCGCGTGTGCTCTCTCTCTCTCTTTCTCACA